GAAAAGTAAAATACACAACTATAGGTTGAAAAAGGAGTGAAAATATATCACGTAATATATTCTAAAGAGAGAGAGTTAGAGAGAGAAAGAGAAAGAGGAAGGAACGAGAAGAAAACCCTTTAGAGAGAAGATCAAGGAAGAAGAAGTTTAATTTTCAATCCGAAAGTTTAAGGCAAGTTCTTCTTCTATCTCTTTCCCTTTGATTCGTGTTTCTGTACATGCCTAGGAAATTCCAGGATTTATTAAACACATAAAATTAAATAATTATGCATGATTTTGATTTGATTTCCGGTGTGAATTTTTATATGTTTAAATTATGTATTTTTCATATCTGTGAAATGATGGAACGTAGAAACATGCCTAAGATTCCTGAACATTAAATAGGGACTAGGTTTGGGTTTTAATAAATTTAAATAGACTCAATCATAATGATGCTTGCTATTTGAATGTTTTAAACAAACGAATGGATTTAATCTTTTAAAATATTTTAGCAATTGAGATTAAATGTGTAGGATGAATTGGATATAGAGAATCCTTATTTAACGGTATAATAAAATATCATCATGTATAAGATTCAGTTTGTGTAGGACATATGATATAGGAAGTTTAAAGAAATAATAAGTCATTCCTATTATGTGATAACTTGATATCCTATTTATCATAGTTATTTATGGAATGTTTGATGTATTTCCTTAATTGTTACATCAATTGTTGGATTGTGTGGTTTAATGCACCGGTATGGGACGGTGGCATTCTAGGGATGGATTAACTTATCAGTTAAGTCCTACCTATTTTATATAAGGGAATGGATTAACTAAAATGTTAAGTCCTACTTATATTTAAGTCAGGTCAGCTGAACAAGTTGAATGACTTATGGAGGATTAATTTATTATATAAGGGAATGGATTAACTAAAATGTTAAGTCCTACTTATATTCAAGTCAGGTCAGCTGAACAAGTTGAATGACTTATGGAGGATTAATTTATTATATAAGGGAATGGATTAACTAAAATGTTAAGTCCTACTTATATTCAAGTCAGGTCAGCTGAACAAGTTGAATGACTTATGGAGGATTAATTTATACTGGATAGGATGGTTACTAGATTTTATATATATAAGTATGGTGTCATGATATGAGCTTGAGTCTCAGGATCAATGGTTAGGGCGCGTATATCGCCAGGGATGTGTAGCTAGATATAGTGTAGTTGTGTACCCTGGTAGGTCTAGGTACTCATGCCCACTATATGTGCGTTTTGCATGTTGCCTACTATTCAGGTTGAGATAACCCTATAGTCTAGTGAGGTTCCTTTAGTGTGTATATATATATATACGGACTACTAGTTACTGTTGGATTGACTAGGATGTATACGTGTATCGAATCTCTGCTTGGACTGTAGTAGAGTAGAACTTGTTTGTGAGCCTGACTCACCATTATTTTTCAGGTGTTCGTCACGAGTAGAAGTTGTTCGTGCTGAGCGGGGATCAGTCTACTTCATTCTTCCGATGCTACATAGGAGTTCCTTTATGATTCAGTTTCCTGTTTTAGATTATTGTCATTTGTTTAGTTTGGATTTTCTAGGGGTTCACACAGTATGGATTCCCGAGTTGTATTTTGGAGGATCAGTTGTATCAGAAGAGTTTATTAATTAATGGAAATATATTATGAGGTTTATTATTAGATTATCATTTTAGTTTCTTGTCAGCATTTTATTTATTCTTCTTTATTCTCTTGTACTCTGTGTTCGTTTATTATCAATTTGTTTTGATATCCTCGGGTATTCGGGCGTGGGCCTGGCCAACCTGCATTCGGAAATTCGGGGGTATCACACCAGCTCCCTTGGTCATAGAGCCGGCTCCCAAGGTTAGGGAGCCGGCTCTCTTGTGTAGGGAGCTTGCTCTCTCATTTTGAGAGCAAGCTTTCTTGCACTGTAACTTGTGGGATTTTTTTTAAAAGTATAGTTTTGGTATTTTTTGAGTTCTTGGATGGTTCTGGATTGTTAATAAGGATTCTAAACTGTGTTTTATGATATATTAAAACTCAAATAGCATAATTAACACCTGTATGCTAGTGGATTTAACAGTATGAAAATTTAAACAATTTTTGCATGCTGTTAATGGATGTAAAGGATTTAATCCTCTAGTCTTCTTTTAGCAGTATAAATGACTGTAATATGATTTTTAAATCTGTATTGAATGCATAATAAGGTCAAATACTTATTAGATTTTATTATGTTTATTCTGGACTTTAATTGATGAACCATTAAATACTGTTCTATCAATTACATGGATGTTATTCTGAACTTTAATTGATGAACTATTAAATACTGTTCTATCAATTACAGGGATGTTATTCTGGATTTTGGTTGATGAACCATTAAATTCTGTTTCTATCAACTATATGGATTATGTGGATTTTATTTGATATACTATTTTAAGTGTTGCATTATTTATGGACCATATGCATTATATGCACCGGTATTTGACGGTGGCATATTAGGGATGGATTAGATCAAAACGCTAATTTCTACCTATTCATACATACGGAATGGATTAACTAAAACAGTTAAATCCTATATGGATTCATATCTTGTCAACTAAAACAGTTGAACGACATATTGGATGTTTGTTTTATATCCTGTATTAGGAAAGATTTATATATATGATTATGGTACCTCAATATGAGCTTGAGTCTCAAAGTCAACGGTTAGGGCGCGTATATGCAGTGGGATGCATAGCTGGCTATGATGGTTTGATGTGTACCCTGTTAGGTCTAGGTACTCATGCCCACTCCAGGTGAGTTTTGCATGATACCTACTAGTCAGGTTAAGACTGGCATGTAGTGTGGATATATATATTTATGTTTTTATGGACTATATAGATATTGTTGAGATATCTAGGATGTATCTGCGTATCGGGTCTCTACTTGGACTCTAGTAGAGTAGAACTTGCATGTGGGCCTGACCCACCTTCATTTTTCAGGTATTCGTCAGGAGTAGGGATTGTTCGTGCTGAGCAAGGATCGTCTACTTCATTCTTCCAGATTATGTTATTTAGGAGTTTCTTTGTGTTTCTGCATTCTGATGTAGTCGCTTATTCAATTGAGATTTTCTAAGGGTCCACATAATATGAATTCCCGAGTTGTATTAGTAATAGAGGATTGGATGTATCAAAATATTTTCATTTATAAAAATTTATTCTGAGGATTTCATTAATAGATTATCGTTTTAGTTTCTTTCAGCAATTTTATTTATTCTCATTTATCATGTTTGTATTCTGTGTTCAATTATTACCATTTGTTTTTGATATCCTCGGGCGTTCGGGCATGGGCCTGGCCAACCCGCATTCAGAAACCCGGAGTTATCACAACTAGTGAACCTTTTATCATGCAACTATTGTACCGCCCAAGGTCATGAAGTACAGTTTTCTGTGTTTGGAATGACAGTGGAACGAAGTTGGCTAAATCTATTCCGCCTCGTTAGAAAATTCATCATACCCATTCCGCCCCTATTCCAGGATGAGTTTCTAATTGGTATACAATCTCCGTCCCAACTCCAGTAGATAAAATACCAACTACGCCCCAAGTGCTCCGTTTAATTGCGGGGTGGACGCGGGTTATGCCACTTTTATTATGTAAAAAAAAAAAAAAAAAACCAATGTGATCAAATTGGACTAATAAATAAGTTGACACAACTTTTAAATTACTAAGTAATAGAATATGAATATATTAATTGATACATCTAACCAAGTGACAAGCATCTTAAAAACATTAAATATATAATTTACATATATTAAAAATAATAATTAAAGTACATTATATAATGAATGGAAACTTCATCACTAAATCTATCCCGACCCAAACCCGTTTTCAATTATTTTACCATAGCCGTCCCAAAATTCATTTAGGGGACCAAATCCACTATTCGGTGCCTCTTATCACTAGTGTCTCTACACCCAAACTCCCATAAAAAAAATCTCGACAAATTATAAAACAAGAGGGGATGGGTTAGTAAATGATCCATCAGGTTAGTAAATGATCTGATCCATCAGGTTAGTAAATGATCCATCAGGCATCAACCCTTCTTATAAATGGCACCATAGATGGCTAATGGTATTAACCACTTTGTTTCTGGAAATTGATTTTTGCCTCATTGGAAAAGTGATGCATTTTTTTTATTTTTTTCAACAAGGCAAACTCAGCAAACAACCAACCCAACTACAAAGAGAGAGACATAGATAACCGATCGCTGAAAGCACACTCCAATAAGTGGAATGGATAGAACTGAAGCACTTGATCCTCAGTCACATGAGGTTTTGAGAGCTTGGCAGCCTCATGAGCTAAAAGATTTGCTTCTCGACGAACGTGAGCAAGATGAGCAATAGGCAAACCTTTCAAAGCAGTCTATATGTCACACACAATTGCATCAAATTCAACTGAACAAGGTTTTGTCCCAAGCACTGCAGCACACAATATTGCAGAATCACTCAAAAAGAAGATTAGGAAATTGAAACCGCATAGCCCAGAGAATAGCAGCCCACAATACAAACGCCTCTGCCATGAGAGCCGAGAAGGCCCTAAAGTGTTTAAGAATCACTACTTCCTTCAATACACCATGATGGTCACGGAAAACCACCCCACCACCAGCTAAACATCCGTTTTTCCTGAAGGCGGCATCCATATTACACTTTAGAGTACCCACATGAGGGGGATTCCAGGAACGGCGACTTTTGAAATTATATCTCTTTTAGATGCAACTTTTGACAACAAACAGTAATAATGAAGAGACGAGTATTTTCCATTTAAGTCGGTCCTTTATGCCTACTTACCCGGAAAAATAAAAAGGACCTTTATATCCTGATTCATCCACATTCAAGTAGCCAGATCCCAGCAGTAAGCTCTGGAAATTATTTTAAACAGGACACGGCAACTCTCTGCAGCCAGCCTTGCATTGGGAGATGAAGAGTTAAAGAATTCCCACAAGCTAACTTCACTTTTAAAATGCTAACAAAGAAATGCCTGCGCCACATTTTCATTACAACAAATTGAAGAAACAGTGTTTTTATTTATTTATTTATTCAAGGACGAATATTACTTGAATACGTCAAAATATACATATTTAATTTCCAAGTAGATAACCTTTTAATACGTTATAATACATTGGCAGTAGAACAAACTGGGATACCATAAATGTGCAATCCAACTGCGGAGAAACTCTCATGGCCCAGAACAACTAAAATCCCTCATCATACTAGAGATTTTGCGAGAAATGCTCCCACAGGCAGACTGTTTCCAGTTCAGACGACCATCAAAGCAGCAGACTAAAAGGTCAGTCAATCAATAACTCACCAGGCTAGAGTCTAGGGGATAGAGATACAGATTGCAGACTGCAAAATTTTCATTAGGCTACAGGAGAATACATGAATTGCCACTCCAGGAAATTGTGATTATGCTTCACATTCGACAGAGATCAGCAGTGCTGGATTAACATACTCCATAATAAATGGCCATAATTCCCTCTTGAAAGCCTTGTGAATACCCAACAGAGGAGCTGAATCAAAAATCACTTTCAATCATTTTCGGCATACTCAGTCCAGATAAGTGGACGATCCAATAAATTGAATATCACATGTAACCAGATATCCATAATACTCTACTCTATGTTCTGTATCGATCCTATCAGGTAGAATTCAAGCCTCTCTTTGGTAGTCGCATCTGCAAGATTAATAAATGACATGTAACTTTCGGCCAGGATGGCCTTAAAACTAGAGCTCAAGAAATAAAACTAGATCCTAACCTTGGATTTTGTAGTCCTCCACCCTCCCAAGTCATGCTTTTTTGGTGAGTATGAGAATTTCTCAATGGAACTCAGGACTGCACTTTCACCAACTTCTGAGACACTAAATGGCAATAAATCCTGCATTTGAGATCATAAATTTGACTCTACCTCCTCTAAACAATAATTTTAGTTCAATTCCTTGAAGGGATTCTAAATGCCTAAAAGCAATCTCTGAGATTAATGCCTTTTAACATTTCAACTAGCAAAATTTTCTTTGCAAAGGCAATTTTCCACTCTATATGGAAAATTGAACTCTGCCAATTTTTTTCTTTCTTTTTTATTTTAGAAGCTAAAATCAACTGCCTCTGCCTCTGATTTACAAGATAAACCGCTCAACATTTATAACTTATGATTTCCCTTTCTTTCTTTTTTCCTCATTTTTCTTCTCAAACATGAAAAAAATTAAAACCATATCACAAACTTACCCTGCCCTTTGACGCTTCAAGATTCTTAATTTCCAAACGATCAAAATAAAACAGTACCTGCACATACAACAAATGGTTGAGAAAAATAATAAAGCGGCAAGAAAGATTTGACAGAGCAAGAGCAATATACAAGCAAAAACTGCTATTAGTTTGAAGCATCAAACAATTGCAAGATCCTAGCACAATTAAATTTTCTTCACATGGGACACTTGAATAATTGACCTAGCCAAATAAATCCTACCTTGTTGAGGAACTGGACATTTGATGCATCAGTTGCCATGACCCGTACACCAAGACAATTAGAGGGACTACTGCAAAAGGGACAGAAAATAGTACTAAATACACACCCATCTTCTTGGCACCAAATTCCTTGTCCTGGGACACCTACAGGATTTCTGTTACAGAGTCGGTGATCGACTGATCTTGTATCAGATATCACAACAGATATACTTGTTGAATTATTCATGGCTAGAGGTTCTAGCGACCCTGTCAGAAGAGATGTCAAGTGAACTTTTGATGATGAAGTTAACGAGCATGTAACATAATAATGGTTCTCCGGAAGGCCCAATGGGTTTCTGCAAAATGAGCAAAATATTTGTAGTCTCTTGTCCATAACATGACCAGAAGGCACACATGATGAACCATAATAATTCGATATGAGCGATTGAGGAACAGTGGGCTTCTTGGATATGTTTTCCACAAAATTAGTCTCACAACCAAATTCAATTCTGTGATTAGCATCTCTATTTGTCATGGAGCTTGCCATGAAACTAGCATGGCCAGAAGTTTCAGCATCAGGAACATCTTGTTCTTCTTGGACAAGGTCAATTAATGGTGATTCCAAAGGCATTCTCCTTTTCCGGGCATGAGAATTAACACTCAAATTTAAAAATGATTCTGCTTCAGGTGTTAAATTGTTTGTCCTTGCAGTGGCATTTCTTTCAGGAGTGACCACCATGGAATGTGCTGATTTAGAAGTGCTTGAATTTGGTAAAGAAAATGAAGATAATAACAACTTATCAGGAAACTCAGCAGAAGCCTCGACTATGGTTGAACCAGAGTTCCCACCCCTGGAGAACGATCCTGGACTAAATACAGCAATACTGCCATCTATACCAGGGGTTTCCTTGACTACGGATATTTCAGGATCGTCAGGAGACAAGTCCAAGGGGATCTCCCTAGTGCACCTGCAGAAAGATGTGATCTATGTTAAAATGGAGTTGGTACTGGTTGTATAGGGCAAAAGAGGTGAAAACCATCATTCTGGAAATTTAACCTAAAAGCCTTGAGCTATAGGATAGAACCACACCCCACAGGCCCACCTTGTAAACTGCAACTGGGATCCAGTAACATAATGTGAGGAACATCACTTGCACCCCCCACCACCCCCAACAAACACGCAAAAAAAAAAAAACACAACGCAGTTAAATGCAATGTGCACAAAATCAGCGGATTTTCCAATTCACTTGCTATTCAATTTTTTGTTAATGCAAATTAAGTGGCTTGACAATCACCTGGAGTCTTCCTCAGTACCAAACTCTACATCAATGTACTCTCTGCAACTTTTAATATCCTTCTCATTAGTCAACATCAATGCTTGAACTTCATCATCATGCTGAGTTTTTTCAGTTTCCATCACACAGGTTGATATTACTTCTCTCCCACACTGATTAGACTTGTTCACTCTCTGACTTTTCTTTCTTGCGAACACCTTGCTTTGATCCATGGGAATATTTTTCATATAAATGTCAGAATTTTGTAAAACACCAGCAGTCCCTTTGGCAAGCCGTTCCTGCATGAGTCCAGATTGAGTTTACCACATTGGTTAAAGTAGTTCATCAACTTAAAAGTCTAAAGGAAATTGTTCACAGAAAATTGAAGGTGAAAATTAGAAAGATAAAAGATCAATAGAGGACCTTGACACCTCTAAAAAAGGAACTTAGTCCCTCTAATGACTTCTCAAAATTGTCATACTGTCGGATGGATTTCCTTAGCCACTTTGAAATGTATGTTGTATTCCTTTCTTCACAAAACCGCTCATCTGCTTGCAAAATGAATTATTATTTTAAGTCCTAGATGACCAGATTCAAAAAATGAAAGGGTTTGAGAACGGAAACAGAAGTCAAAGGAAGGTTTCATGCAAAGTCTTGAAATCAGGAATTTTCAGCCAAATCGATCATTAATATATATATATATTTATATGGCTGTATTTTACCAAATTTCTTGTCCCAACTTTTCCAAATTTTGGTCAATTTTCCATTTAGAGTTAATAAATAATTAAGTTACACCATCTCTAACAGCTTAAGCAAGAGCCAAAGGTCTCAAGTGTAGGCCTCACCTTCACCAGGATAATTAAAAATTGACATACATGTTGGCCCATAATCTGGCCACATTTTAGGCCTTTGTGTGGTTTTTGGAAGGTCTATACATTGTCTTTGAGTTTCTACATATGGAGTCCAAGTCCTGTTAGATATAAGAAATCCTAAAAGTATGTGTGTAGTATATGTAATCTCCCAATGTACCAGAAAACAGTTCATTGAAAATTTCCCAAGGTTTTGAAAACTTTTGAGATTGTGTGATGCAACACAAGCTTTATTTGTAATGTGTAAGGGGTTCTAGTAGTGGTTCGTAGATTTTTCTTTTCCTCTTTATTTTTCTGCACTTTATATGTGCAACCAGACCTTGTTAACTGTTGTTTAGCCCCAAAAGTCCTACTTTAACAAGCCTGTCATCCCCTTCTTTCAATGTTCGACCCTATAAACCAAAAGAAACCATAAGGAATGTTAAATATAAAAGAGAGAAAATGTGCATTGTATTGATGTGTAAGATATGAAGATACATGGGGTTTTATATAGGTGACGAGATGTGTGGAGAGCAAGAAACCTAAACCCTATTAGGTAAACCTATTCATGGTAATAATATATTCTACAATATAATAATAGTGTATTCTACAATATATTCTAACAGCCCTCCTCAAAATCAAGGTGGATTAAATGATTTGAGTTTGGAAATGAGATCTTGAAAGCGGCATGGCGGAAGCGATTTGGTGAAAACATCAGCGATCTGATCATGTGAAGTGATGAACTGCAATTGAAAGGTCTTGTGAAGAAGATTGACGACAAACAAAATGATAGTCAATCTCAATGTGTATAGTGCGCTCGTGAACTACATCATTGTGTGCAATTTAGATTGCACTCCTATTATCACAATAGATAGGAGTGACAGTGGATGAAGAAACTCACATGTCTTGAAGGAGCCAAAGCAACCACAAAAGCTCAAAGGTAGTATCAGCAAGCGCACTGTATTCAACTTCTGTGCTAGATCGAGTAACCACAATTTGTTTCTTGTTGCGCCAAGAGATAAGTGAATCACCAAGAAAGAAACAATAGTCTGTCGTGGAATGACGAACTGTAGGGTCTCCTGCCCAGTCTGCATCTGAATAGGCATGAAGAACAAGTGATGACTGAGAAGAAAAATGCAGTCCATGAAACATAGTGCCTTTGAGATAACGAAGGATGCGAAGAACGGCAGCAAAATGAGTAGACCGGGAGGCAGTCATGAACTGACTAACTATGTGGACGGCATGAGAGATGTAGGGACGAGTGACAATGAGATAAACCAGACTACCTACCAATTGGCAATACAAAGTACCATCTCGAAGAGATTTTCCATCATGTAGATTAAGTCTTATGTTGTGCTCAAGGGGGGTAACAACAATCTTACTGTCAGTTAGACCAGATTTCGAGAGAAGATCGGATATGTATTTTGACTGAGTAAGATAGTAACCATTTGTAGATTTAGTTATCTCAAGACCAAGAAAATAACTGAGGGGTCCAAGATCCTTCATCTCGAATTGATGACTGAGAAACTGTTTGAGTTCCTAAATTCCCGTCAAATCATCTCCAGTGATGATCATATCATCAGCATCAAGTAAAAAGAGAGCGATACCTCGATCGGTGCATCGAACAAGCAGAGTCATAAGGACTAGCAGAGTAGCCAAGTCAAGAGATAGTGTAATAACCCTAATTTTAAAAGGATATTTCTGGTATTTAAATATTTTATATTTGTGGTATTTAAATTTTTGATTAATTGTTTTTATTGTCTGATTAAATGATTTGTTTAATTGGTTTTAATTAATTGTTTAAATTAAATTATGTGCTGAAGTTATGTGACATGGATTTATTACCTGTGTAATTGTTAACACTGCTTTATTTGTAATTGGTTCAATTATTTTAAATGCAAATTAACTGTTTAAAGGTATTAGGGTTTTGTTTAAATTCATCGTGTCTGGTTTTGAGCCGACTTGTAGTTGGTTTAGGATTTAGTTTAGGGTTTCAACTTAAGCCTATAAATACATAAGTATATGTCTGCTAAGGGTTTTTGTAAACCCTATTCACCATATTCACGCACATAAGATACAGAGGGAATACAGAGAGCAACCGAGGTTGTTTTGTAAGACAAATTACAGAACCTTAAGAGATTTAGGGAGGGATTCAAGGAGGAGTTCTGGATTTAACTAAGAGTGGCAGAGGTTGATAACAACAGTTGACGTTGCTAGAGACAACAGTTTTAGATTTTCAACCGGAAATCAAAGGCAAGTCTCTGTTCTTCTCTTTCCCATTAATTCGTGTTCTGTACATGCCTAGTTAGACTCCAGGGATTAAATAAAGGTTAAAATGGATTTAAACAAACATAATAACATGTCTTCTATGCATATATGATTTTATTTGATCCGGTAGAATTAACTGTTTTGCATGAACTTATGTTTTTCTATTATTTGTTCCTCTGGTTGTTTACTTTTAAGTTTTGTTTAACGGAGGTTGGTAATGCAAATAAAGGCCTTGAAATTGATCTGAGTCTAAGATTAAACTCTAGAACATGTATTTAGAACAGTATTTAAAATTCACGAATAAATCTGTTATGAGTTGCTTTAAATTGCTAATTGAAATTCTGAAATCGTTGTTCCAGATCTTGGTTTCAATACATGTTATGAGTGGATATCAGTGGTTTAACATTTGTCTAGGACTAAGATTTAACCTTAAACAAGGATTTAAAAACATTACAGAGGCTCAGATAATCACCGGAGTTGGAGAAGATGAGGCAGGAACGGACGAACTGCTCTAAAAAGGGAGAGAGCAGGCTCTCAAAATGAGAGAGCCAGCTCCCTCACACAAAGAGCCGGCTCCAAGGAGCATGGAGCCGGCTCCATGCTAAAAGAGCAGGCTCCCTAAGTTAGGGAGCCGGCTCTAACATAAATGGAGCAGGCTTTAAATTTTTGGAGCCTGCTCTTGCCCAGAAAGTGCATACTGAGTGTGTTTGTGTGCGTAGTTTGAGCTGTATAGTGAATTCTAAAGTTGTTTAAAGGATACTGAGGGGTGTAATTAAATGTTAGGGACTTATTAAAATAGTGAAAAACATTATTACAATATTGGATTAAGGAAAGGAGTAAAATACAGCTCAAGAAAAATCTATACGTTGCACTATTTTGCTAAGAAATTTAATTACTGGAACTTAGCAAATTGTTGGTATATAAATTAATTATATTTAATCATATTGTCCACCATGTTATAAACATAGTAAATTAACTGTAATTTCAACTATGATTGGGTTGGAATCAATTGGTACTCAATGGTTGTTAAATGGTTTCAGTTTATGGACTATATGTGGAATTTAAATGCTATGACCTATTTTAGCTATTTAAATTATTGGATCATGATATTTAGGTTCTGAAGTGAATACCTAATGTTGATATATATGTATGAATTCATATTGGTGCATATTTTGGAGGATGGCAGTTAATTATATAATGTTGTTTTAGTAACTATGCTATGTTGGAGGATTTGCTAGTTTTATATATTGGAGCTTAACAAGGTTGTTAAATATGAATTAAATATATATAATAAATCATATTTCTGGGGTATTAGAAGTAAAGTGAATTAACTGGAATGACCTGTGCTTAGCTTGGGTGTAATTGATGCTTAAATTTCTGTTAACTGTATCAATTCATGGATTATGATGGTGAATGTGAATGCTTAAATTTATTGTAGCAATTTACATTATTGGAGTTGGATTTTAGGCTGTATTGAATGTCTAATATTTATGTATATAGATTAACTTATCTTGTGCATACTGTGGAGTGTGGTTGATGACTACTTAATATTGTTTTGTCAACTATGTTAACTGGAGGATTGTATGTACCGGTATGGGACGGTGACATACTAGGTATGGATTAGCTCAAGCACTAAATCCTACCTAATTTGGAATGAGTTGGATTAACCATAAAAAGGTTAAGTCCTACTTATATGGATATATATGAACCAGTATGGGACGGTGTCATATTAGGGATGGCTTAGTTCAAAACACTAAGACCTACCTATATTGGGAATGGATTAGTTCAAAACACTAAGTCCTACCTAATTTGGATTAAGGTATGGATTAACCATAAAGGCTAAGTCCATCACCTACTTGTGTCATGTCAATCAAATAAATTAAATGACCTATTATGATTTCAGGATGGATTTGTTATACATATATCAGACCACTATACAGATGGATGATATTTTGTATTAGGAGTACAAGGATTTTATATATATATTATATGATGCCATGGTATGAGTTTGAATCTCAGGACCATGGTTAAAGCGCGTATATCGCCTAGGATGGATAACTGGACATAGGTGTTGTTCCCTGATAGGTCTAGGTACTCATGCCCACCTTCGGGTGCATATTTGCATGTGGCCTTCTATTCAGGCTGAGACAGACCTACTGGACTAGCGAGCGTCCTATAGTGTGTACTATATACATATATGGACTACTCTAGATATTGTTGAGTCTTTCTAGGATGTATCTGCGTATTAGATTACTGTCTGGATCGTAGTAGATCAGGACTTGCATGTGGGCCTGACCCACTCCTTTATTTTTCAGGTGTTCGCCAAATCCAGGGTTAGAGCTTGGACGTGCAGAGCAGATACAGATATTCATTCCTCCGACTATGTAGGAATCTTCTCTATATTAGTTTTAGTTTTTATTTCAATTTTCCAG